TTTTGGTTTAGATTCTCCAATCCTTTCACCACTCACAGCTACACAAGGACTCACAGCTACACAAGGGACAGTAACTTAAAGCTACACACGGGCTCGTCACTTAAATTGGCTGGAATAACACTTCGTTGGACGAGACTGAAACCATAATCCATTGGATTATATTCTGGGGATTGGGGTGGCAGTCATTCTTCTCCTTCAGGTATGCTTGGGATACCTTGCTAGTATGCAATGAGGTCCCTGTAGAGGGCTTTAAGTCTAAATTCAATCTAAATTAATCATTTCGGGTAAACTAAGAATTTGCATAATATTTTAATAGATACCAAGGAAATCATTTCGGGCATAGATTTAATTGGGATAAATTGACAATGGGTCCTAACAATAGGGTTACAACAGATCGACTTCAGTCAACGTAGGGGATTAAAAGTATCAATAGGTTATGTCATGTGAATGTCCACTTGGAACAAAGAAGCTTGAGACACAAAGCATTTTATAGACAATAGAGGGTTTGAAGAAAGGGTCTGGGTAACAAAGCATTTCTCACTTGAATGACCATTAGGAAACAGGGGTTTGGAAAACGATACGTTTGAATGACGCAATAGGAAACAAGGGTTTGAAAAATCATACACTGGAATAACCAATAGGAAGATAGTGTTTGAAAAACAATGATTTGAATAGACAATAGAGTAAGGTAATAGGGTCGGGACTGGAAGAGAGAGTCACTTATGCTTAAGCTTGTAGTATTGTTATTAATGAATTGTAGATCTGTATTTTATCATGTTAATTTTAGGGGTTTGAAGTCAGACATAAATTAATAGGGTACTTAAGGGATGTAACCCTTAACTCAGTAGGTGACCTGTCATGTTTAGTTGACGTATAGTCCTATTAGCTATTGTCTTATAAACTAAGTATACACAAATAACATGACCGGTTACCCAAGTGTACATGAATATCCATTTAATGATATTTATGTACGCTTGTGAGCCAGGGTATATATATCCCTGTTATTATTGAGGAAATCAT